ATTATGTGAAGTCCTTGTAGTGGTTTAGGTAGTCCCTTTTCTCGCATGTCATTTCATTGTAGATACACGCACCTAGCGAAATCGCTGTGTCTTGCGTCCCGGCTGACAGGTGACTGAGTCCGTGAGAGAGAGAGAGAGAGAGAGAGAGATGATGGTCAGGCATGTCAGTTGACTGTGGCGGATTCGGAATGCAAAAAATACCGTCGATGGTTGACAATTGTCGTGCATCCATTGTGATATATTGCTTCGTGATCTCCAGGCATTTCGAGATATGACCCTTGAGCTGGAGCCGGCGACAAAACTACAAGAGCGTGGGTGTGGGTCGATGTATCCAGACTGCCAGAAATTTTCGGCAGCAGCAACGAAACAGTCATCCAATCCGAGATTTAATTGCCCCACTTGCCCACATGCGGGTGTAGGGATATCTCAGACGGAACATACCAGCTATGCATGCCTGAGCCGCAGCGGTCAAGGAGCCCATCGACATCGTAGTGTCTTACGACTGGCCGCGAGGCAGGACTTTGAACTTTGAGCATTTCCACTCGGATGCATATACAGTGTCTAGTTGCTGGTGATTCGAAGTGTGGTTCCGAGTTTTGAGGTGGTGTAAATGTGTGATTCGTGAGCCGGGCCAAATACGCATCGTGATTTCACAGCGGCACAACACTGGTGATGTCATCTTAGCAGGGGCCGGATCGTTGCCTCTTGAACTGAATGCTGTCGAACGAAGACAGATGCACGGAGTGAGAGAGCCCAGGCACACAGCACTAGTAATTTCGGGTCGTTCGTTGTAGGTGCAGCGCAGTCGAGGCATTTGGAAGTTCGGCAACTACGAAAAGATGTGCGAGCAGTCTTTGGCTCAGCCGCTCCAAAGTCGCCCGCAGCTCCGAAGTTGACCACGACGGCCAAGCCTTCAAGCGCAGGCCCGACCTGGGGGAGAATGTCAAGCGTGAGATGGAAGGCCAGCAGGGCTTGAGGATGCTTCGGGTCAGGATAGCGGGCTCCGAAAGACGACGGGAAGATGCAGATGTTGAAGAATGGATGGATGAGGCAGCTGCGGCTCTCGTAGGGTCTTCAACATCGTGTTCGGGGATATTAGTAGCAACCCTATATCTCAGTGAGGCCACGAGAGTGAGGGGGGGGGGGCAGACAAGTGACTTGCGAACAGTTCCTAAGACCCAGGAACATGGACACGTTGTCTCAGGGGCCGTCAAGCAGCCTCCAGCGCTGATGTTTCATTCATGCACGGTCTATACTACTTGTTGCGCGAAAGGCAACACTTTGGGAAGCCCTGCTGCTGGGCTGGCAACGTTGCTGACACCGATCATGTCATCCATACATACATGTCCTGTGTCGCGAGTTCCAGAGTTTAGGCTCCCAGTCCTCACCCTTGGAAGTTGCTCGAACCAAGGCTGCCATGGAGCTCCTGAAGAAGCTGCGACCTCTGTTCTGGTTCTCCTCAAGCCTACAGGTCATCGAAGGGACTGAATCCTAACAGGCTGTTGAATTTGTGTGATTGTTCCGACTCATATTCTCGATCCAGGGCCTTTGGCTCGAGATTGGCTCCTGCTGGGGACTGTGAGTCAGACCACAAGATGCAGACTTTACAGAACTATATCACCACTGAGCCTGTTCTGTTGCAAGCAGGGATGTCTTGCAACGCCGTCGTACTGAATAGTTGTTAGTGCTGCTGCCAGGTTTTAACATGCAGACGTCAAAACCACAAAATGTCAGATGAGCTCAGAGCTCCGTGGGTAGAGCCGACACTTCTCTGCCTTTCACCCATCCTCGGCAGGCGAAGTTTCCAGCTTTGGTTCCCCATGGCGATGGTACCTTCACCCGGTTCCTGGCTTCACTGGGAAGGGTACGGGCTCGAAGTCAGCTGGTTAATTTGGCTTGTGCAGATTCAAAGGCCGTAGCTGAGTCGGTATTGCTAGGAATTGCAGATTCCAATTCGGAGCGGGTAGGGCATCTTGGCGCAGTTGTCATCCGACCAGAGATACCGGCAATTTTCTTATGGTCTAGGTTCGCGCAGTTGTTTCTGACTTCCGCTCTGTCCGCATGAGATGCAAATGCAAGTCAAGTCACAGAATCAAACGGGTGAAAGCTTGTTATCTGCGAGTCGACCTGATTCGATGAGCGTTTCGATGACTTCCATGACTCTGATGCCGCACCCTCCAGCTCAGTTCAGCAGAATCCGGTGAGCTGTGATCATGGCAAACTTGACTGTTCTAACCCGACAGACTGTGGAGTCTAACTGATTCAGCCAAAGGTTCCTGGCCCTTGATCGGTGCCGGACGGGCCGCGAGTACATGCAGGCCTGGCAGCAAGGTCGAGAGCGTGTATGCTTTCCCTCTTGCCATCCTGCACGTGCATCAGTACGATTTTCTGCGGCCTCAAGCCCTGTGTTTCCGTAGTGCCCGACAGGTGTTGCAGGGGCCCTACATTTCATCCTAGAGATCATGAAAGCCGTAGGATCAAGTATAGAGGAGTACTGGGTTTTGTGAGATGTTCTGTGCAGGTCTTGGACATCGATCCGCGCTGTCCAACAGCGATGCAAGCTTTGCCACGACCCTCCTGGCTGAAGACGCCTGCGTCTCTTCCCAGCAATCGATCATATACTATCGGTAGACAGGGATAGAGCAATCTCAGCACAACAGGCAGACAGGGACCCCGCCAGGCTCTACGGGTTGATAAGGGTTGAGAGTTGAGAGAACTGGGCCAAGAAGAGGGCGAAGATGTAGGACGCTTCGACAGTCTCTGCCAATGGCTTTCCGGACTTGAGGCTGCCAAGACTTCCGGTGCCGTTGTGCTACGACGCAGAGTGGCTTGCAGTGCAGAAGGCCGGGAAGATGGAAGATGCATGGTGTGACGGTATTCGGCCAAGACCTTGATGAGCGAACAGACCTGCTCCAATTCGCAAGCTGCTTTTGTTGCGCAGGTAAACCACGAGACACTGGACAGCAACAACTTCTGGCTCATGCAGATGGTCCGGACAAAACCTATTATAGCTTGTTCCGGGCATTCCTTCGTGGTTGATGTTGGCGAAGAGACGTGCTTCAATGCTGTCTGTTGTTGAGATCCTTTGGTCCAGGGTGCCCCTGATGTGCATTAGCATCATTAGCTTGTGTCACGCGCACTCCCTCCGGTCTAACAAGGAGCATTTCCTTCTCCTGGCAGCCTGCGAAAGCCAAACTCGCCGCGGCGACGCGGGACCGGTCAAGTATAAATCGACACAGACACAGGGACGTCGGAGCTCAAGGTGCTATCTTCCGCCGTGCTGACGGCATGTTTTCGTTTATGGCGTTGCACCCAGTCTAGGGGATGTCAGCCACAAAGTGCAGAATTAGATATCAACAAAACAACCGCTCATTGCTACTAGTAGTCGCTGTGCAGTGCTACGAGCTTCAAATAGCTGTCAGCCGGAGAGGAGGACGTCGACTGGGTCAAGAAGCGGCTCAGAGACGACGTGGCTTGGTGGCAGAGGTTCCAGGTCCACTGGCTCGGGCATGAGGGTTTGCGGGTCAGCGGACGGGCAATATGGGCAGCGCAGGCTTCATGGTAAAAGCATCCGATTGACACTGTTTCGGAGTCACTACACTTGGATAAATAAATGGGATTATGATTTCTGTCATTTGGTGCGTCCCGATCACTTCCTTGTGAATTAAATGTTCAATGGTGCAGACACAGCCGGTTGAAGCATCATTTGTTTGCTTCTACCTTCCTCTCTATACTGTGTTTCTGGCACTTGATCCCTTTGCTCGGGCCAGGTTTTTTCGTCTAGATCCGTGTGACATGGATTCGGATAGAGCCGAGCTTACAGGCGAACCGGTGAAGAAAAGGCGCAAACGCCAAGCTCAAGCTCGTGAATCTTCAGGCATGTCCTTCAAGAGGAGTTGCCTTGCAGGTGGGAGCCGTCCCATCCTACCGGGGCCGTCGTCATCCAGACTTGCTTCTCGGCCGAATGCTGCAGACCCGGTTAGCATGGCAACTTTGCAGTAGCTCCACACTGAAGCCATCGCCGGATACGTGCAGCGCAGATGCATTGATCCAGCTAAGCCTCTGTCTGCCAGTCGTCCACAGCCCCATAGACCCCAAACGATGGCAACTCGCTTTGGCGAAAACTGCTTGGATCGGCCGTAGCCAGACAGACAGACAGACAGACCGGCGGACAGACTGACAGACACAAGATGCGCACGCAGACATACACACGTACATAGAATCCAGGGCCTGAGGCCACCCTCTCCCCCTCCCACCCTGTGGAGTGGTCTTGGTCCCTCGGCTTCTTGGTGCTGCCCTCCCCTGCAGGCTGGTGCCTGTGCTGTTTGCGGTTGGGTACAGGCATGAAAACTGATCCGCCCCCAAGCTCAAGGCCTATGTTGTTGTTGTTGCTCCAGCATGCAGCAGAGCTGAAGCTGCGGTGACGAGTGGTTATCCCGTCACCCGTGATTTATGTAAGTCATGAATAGCCACCCTGGCTGCTGAGCAGCTACTGGTACAAGCTAGGCTGGCTAGGTTTGGTGATACGGTTGTTTGGGGGACAGTTCTCCGCAGCGCGGTCTCCACAGAAAGATTGAGAACTCTCTACCGGGGTCTGCGTTTTTGTATCCAACTATCCGTCCTATCGGGGAGGAGTTGAAAAAGCCCAGGTTGCAGCCATGTGTTTGTAGTGTTGTTAGTTATGACTATTGCTATGGGAGGTGCCTTGTAGTGGTACCGCTGTCCCTGTGGTATGGTCTTCTGCCTTAAGTGCCGGTCTCCCGTGTGCGGAGGCACCGGCTGTCACGTGGATCGTTACAGTACACCCGCCGCCTCGTACCCTTCTGTGGCTTGGATGGTGGATTCTGTTCCGTTGCGAAGCGTATCATCAGCCTGCCCCCGCAAAAACACACAATCATGCAGATCACGTGCCATGTTTGAGATCGAAGTTGAATCGCATGTCGAAAACTTGCGAGGGTCACGCCAGCAGGTCCAATCCTAGCGACTGTTGGCATTTTTGTTTACATCGCGACGACTATCCCAGCCTCCGAACCCCGTGACTGTTGTCGCCGACAGGCCTCGGACGGGGAGCTGGAGGTTAGGGCAGACTGGGGCAGAGGGGTGGGGATGGGAGGGACCGGGGAACACTTACTCCTAATTAATTTGTAAACCTATCTATCCATCTGTCTTTCGATCTATCTAGGACATCCACGGCAAAAAGTGCCAGAACGTACCTGATCTGTGTGGTCTTACTTTACATCAACGGTATTAAAGCCGAAGGTGTTGTAGGTCGAGTCTTTCCAAGGTTGCCGACCAAGTTGCGGAAGAGCCGTGGAGCAGGGAGGCAAAGCGCAACGGACCGGGAGTCCCGGGAAGGTTGCAGCTGTGGAGTCGAAATCTGAGTTCCCTGCAGAACGCTTTTGGCGGTAGAAGGAACGTGCTTAGGAACCTTTCAGCCGATGTCGTGGATGCTTGAGAGATGAGATGGGCCTGCAATCTTGTGAGTTGCTTGCTGTAGCCTCAGGTTTAGGACCATTTGTCGATGCTCTGCTTCTTGCCTAATTATGTTGTTGCAGATACCAACGTCATTCGTCAAAACCCCATCAGCTCCAATTTGTTCAGCATAGACGGGTCAACTTCGATGCTGCAGGACTAGCAAATACGGCTGTAGCAAAAAGACACTTAGCCTAGTGGTCTTGCCCATCTCTTGTTGAATCATCCACCCCTCTTACTAGCATGATCTGGGAGGCAGACTTTCCAGAATTTCTCAACGGAGCAGCTGCGGGAGTTGTATGACTTTCGTGGCCTTGCTTCCTGTCCTGAGAAGAGGGCCCTGTCTCTGACATCATTTTCCCAGCAAATCCATCTTTCGAGCCTGTTGCAGTCAGAGTACGGGAAATACAGTCTCTGCCTCTGCATTTGCCAAGGTGTTCCCTGGGCATCTGGACAAGCCTTCGATGATCAAGACGCTTGGACGGAAGAGCTTGGGCTTACCTCACGTCGTGCTCATGTGCCGGAGCCTCCTAGAACCCTGTCGGTACAGCTGCGGTGAACACATTGAACACCCAATCGGCTGTCGTTAACGCGGTGACGCAAACCAGGAAGCTGGAGGAATATGATGCCCTGCATGGAGAGGAGGAAGAGGAGAAGGTGCGCGTTCAGTTCGGAGCCTAGCTTCGGACCTTTAACTGGCTCTATGGCCATCATGTGCCAGATGCTCCTACAGACTCTAAGTCTTACAGGTAGCAGGCAATCGTGAGATCTAGCCTGTGCACCTCCACGTTGTGGGTGGCTATTATGCAAGTTTTCTAGGTTTGATGCCTCGCTCGTGGCTGTGGCAGTGGGGTGCATGACGTTTGCATGCTGGTGTGGCATGGTCATTTCAGCAGCCTAGCGTCTCCATGTGTATCTGCGACGGTGTCAAGCTCCTGCTACAAACCCTGTTCCTGCCGTGCCAGTTTGTGATGGGGGGCTGTGAAGACAAGGATGTGACACGCTGAGATTGTTGTAGCTCTTAGTCGCATTAGGGGCCTATGTCATCGGCAATTCACACATGTAGCTCAGTTTTGTGGAGACTTGCGTGGCGGCTCCCACCACCCGCACATCACAGCCAACCCGTGGCCGTAATCCTGCCGCTGCAGTTATCAGCCCACTGATGTTGTTCCCGGAGGCGGTGGAAGGGGAAGGTTTCCCGATCCCACTGAGCCTTGGCCCACAGTCGATAACTTCACTTAGGATTTTCTGGTTCTGAAATCGCTTCTCTGATGTCGTGCTCAAGAACCGTGCAGGGAGGGAATGCATCATGCTTCTTCAAGGAGAATGCCTTTGCCGCACTGCCGCAACGGCCCGTGTGCTCATAAGCCGTCGTCAGACCAGCGATTCCATAGGCACAACGATGAACAAGTGAACATTGCGAGGAACTTCGAAGCCGAGCCGCTCAATCCCCAGCAGCAGCTTCTCGGAGTCAATGGGGGAGTCCAGAGTTTGGCTTTCACGAGGGCCCAGCAAACTTTGGTGCCCAAGTCGAAGCGCAAACGCTTGAGAAGTCGGCCTGCAAGAGAGTGCTTGCTCTTGCTCATGAACCTTGCACCTTTCCACTAGGCGAGCACGGCTTCTTGCCATCCTGGAGCTGCACGACCTGTGGAAGGAGGGTCTCCAGCGCATGATTGAAGACTCTACGTGTGCCATAGAAGAAGGTAATCTGACGGTAGTTTCTTACTTGGCATACCGTAAGAGGAGAGTCCGTAGCAACGCTCAGCGAGACCGCGATAGGGTTCTGGAATCTGTTTGCTTCGTTCTTGGATCCGATTTGCCGACCTTCTGTCTCTGCTCCCGCAGTTGGCTGCCTGGCAGGACCACGAAAGTCAGAGAAGACAAGTACTCCGTAGCACACACATGGAACAGGACCCGCGATGCAAAGGGCTTCATGGCTTTCGGAAGTGAAGCGTTGTAACCTGAGGAGTGAAGGTGTCGTGACACAGCACCCTGCAAGCCTCAAGCATCCACTGAAAGCTCAGAAGCCCTACACGCGCATACCCTGAACGGACTTGACACGAGTCTGTTTGTCATCGCCTGTCGCGCGACCGCATAAGGATTAAACCTACGATGGCCTGCATAAAGGTTAACTTGCTCGCGGAATCATGGTGATTCAACTTGTTCGGGCCTGGGATTGAATGGAACCTTGCTACTCTACACAAGTGTTGCAGGAGCTTCATCTGAACATGTCGTGGGAGGGTTGCAAGTTGGTGTGGTGCAGGTGTACGATCCATTCAGTGATGCATCTGTGCCTGTGGCTGGGTTGCAGCCAGCATGGAGGTGAAGCGGCTTATTTGCTATGTATAATAGACTTATTAGACGTCGAACCAGTTCCCACCACAAGTCCTCTGGACTTGAGCATTGATGCACGAACGTGGCACAGATCTGTGCAACAGCTAAATAATATATACTTAATGTGTGCGTGTATATGTTTATGATACGTATGTACAAATTGCTGTTCGGTGTAGAGGTGTAAATATGGACATGTGTCGAATGCATCATGCAAAACATGGAGCAGAGATTGACCAGCGTTTGGATCCTAAGCCCGACGATCGGCACTTCAAGGAATCTTGAACCGCAACTTACCAAGGAACTTGCTGTGCCTTCGGTCGCTTCTGCAGGCATGCGGGAGTGTGTGCTCGAGCATGTGCAGCGATGCTCACCTCTATCGCTCTCTCTCTCTCTCTCCCTCTCTGTCTTTCTCTGTTTCTCTTGTAAGCATGCATTCGCAGCCCACCACAAACACCTCTCATGAGACACAAATCCTGCAGCATATCACTCCTATCAACGAAGCGGAATGCTTCAAAATCAAGTTTATTCACCCTCCAATACCTGCAAAAAAGTAGGGCCATGCCTGACAATCACTCGGTCTATACAGGCCCACCTCATACAGCAGGGGACGATGTGAAGCCGGCCATACCCAGCGACGAGCCCCAGGAGGCAAACGTCTGCAAATTAGATGCTGACTTGCATGTTTAGATTGAGGCTTCTTACGGATTGTTCCTGGTGTGGAATTTCGGATCGGGAACTGACTACTTTAGAAGCTTCTGTGCCAGGGATGTGTGATTCTAGGGCCGGGGCTGTTCAAGGCCTTGGATAATTGAGTAGCAATTCAACTGTCCAGCTGAGGACGTATTATTATTAATACTAGTATTATTATTATGGAGACCCTATAATCAGTTAGGAGTGTTGCTCTGTAGGGTTTGGGGAATTTGAATTGGGATGTTGTCATGGCGCGGGTGGGAACTTGCAGCTTCAAGGCTTGAGGCTACAGGCGGAAATTGTTGGTCGCAGAGGGGTAGCATATATATATATATATACATATATGCTTAGCAAAGGAAAGATATGTTTATATATTATGTGTGAAGACCTGGATGGTCAACTTCCTGTTTGCAAGGCCAGCTGTTTCAAGCATGTGATGCTGGATCAATAACGGAATCTTGGTCCGGGCGGGTTCACGAAGGCCTTGCACTTGGCATCGAACGCGGCATGGACAGGTCGCAGAAAGAGAGAGAGAGGTGACCACCCGTACAGACGAGCGCTCTCTGCCAATAGGGTGGACGGGGAAGCGCCTTGAGCGCGAGTCAGGAGGACTGCTCCTGGCCCAAGCAAAGCAAGCAGCGAGAGAGAGAGGGGTAGAGAGGAAGGAAGGAAGGAAGGAAGGAAGGAAGGAAGGAAGGAAGGAAGGAAGGAAGGAAGGAATGAAGAGCGAGAGAGGGAGAGGGACAGGGCTTCAGGCTTTGCGATAGGAAGGCTGCAGTCGAGCCTTCAGGCCTGTTGGGGGCCCTTTTTCCAGTTGGTGTTGGTGGGCTCCCGGTGTTGAACTCCTGCGGTGCTGACTGCTTCATTCCTGCATAATTCCCCAGCGCGCGAACTCGCGGGGGGTAAGCACTCGCTGACGCTTGAGACCACATACCAGATTTCCTACGCGCTGTGGGGGCTGTGCTTGTGACTGTGAGTCTGTGAGTGCTTCAAATGCCAGGAATCCACCGACAGAGAAGCTCCGCCTGCAGAGGTTGGTGAAGGCGGTGTTGCGGTGTTGCAGAGACCAGTCTACGGTAGGTACTGGTACTCGCAGTTAGAGCGCACTGCAGTGTTGCCACATGCAGGCACAGCACCGGTGACAGCAGAAGACCAGGCGATCTATCCAAACCCGCCAGATGCAGCTCCCGAGCCAGAGCAGGAGCACATGACTAGTCGACTTCAATCCGGCTGCAATGTAAGCCAGAGTGTCGTAATACTTCCGGTAAGTTCACAACACACCACCACACTGATGGTTCAAGGGGATGTTCAAATCGCGAAACTAGAACGTGTTGGCATTGGACGAGCGCAGTCTTTCCTTGAGTTTTGCAGACATGCTCTCAAGCCACGGCTGCGATGCGACAGTGCTGCACTTCTTGCTGTCAACAACTGTTTCTCGGGTGGCAGGAAGCCGCAGCCGCCGAGGAGGCCCCAATGTCGACCGATGCCGGAGGCAGGGGTTTCGTGCCAGATAGTCGCCCTTGCGTGTGCCGTTATTGTTTCGATTCCCTATTGCATTACCGGCCTGTTGAGGTGCTGAGGCTGCGGAGGAGGAAGATGACGCTGCTTGATTGCAAAATATATATATATATATATATACATATGTGTATAGTATATATATATATATATATATTCTTTATTTGTTTATTGAAAAACGATGATGAAAGGTGGTTGAGAGACTGCTGCAACTTGAGCTAGCTCCGTCATGGCCGTTTTACAGCAGGCACCGGAACTTAGGAGCAGACGACGACATAAGTCACAGTTTTTCAGAGTAGTGAAGGTTTCCTTTGCAGCACTGTTCCTTCCTCAGTTGGTTCGACACACTGGGCTTTTGCGGTGTATTTGCTTGCAGTTAAGGAGCAGCTGCGCGCCGCTCTACAGCAGACGCAGCAGCGTGCAGAAAAGGCTTTGCATGGGCGTGCGTTGCATGGTAGTTTTAGACTCCGGTTTGTATCCCACTCATTCCCGAGTTCGAAGCCGTGATGCCTATAAACGGGATCTTGAAGCAATCGAGCCCCAAGTTCCGTCCCGATCCGACTGCCCACCACGGCTCGCGAGCGAGAGGCCCCAGAAAGTCTTGAGGAGTCCGAGGCTGCTTGGCGACTCATTCTTTCGACTGGGTCAAGACATCTTTGAATTCAATCCCTTGGTCTCCGCCGACAGATCCGAAAGCTACCTGTAGCTCGATGCTGACAGCACGCGTTCTGAACGGTTCTGTGCCAACTGAGCGCGAACATACCTGTGTCAAGCATGGTGTCGCACAGGCATGCTTTGATTGATGCGGTGTTTGTGCCTCCGGAGGCATCTTGCCAGATGCCCTAAAGGCTGCATGCCCTCACGCTCGCAAGGATCGGTTGTTAAGAGTGTGGGATTTTTTTGGCATAGGGAGTCTGCAGGGTTTGCAGCGCTTGCAGCTCATCTGAGTATGGCGCTTCAGCCGCGGCGTTGGCAGCGGCCGTGATGGAGCTCGCGGAGAACTTCCAGGACATGGGGGGTGGAGCTCAGTAGCAACCTGGGGCACCCAAACAAGCGTATATAGCTATATTATAGTATATCATAGTATATTATAGTATATCAGAGTATATTATAGTATACATTATAGTATATCATAGTATATAGGACCCCAGGAACGCCTGAATCCGCAATCCTTTGCTGCTGTGTGGTTACTGCGAAAAATTGCAAACCGAGACATTTGCATGGAAGCTTTCTGCTGCTGTTACATAGGCCTTCGACAGTTCTGTATCGGGTATATGAAAAACGAGGTCAGCACTATTCCGGCACCTACAGGCCACAGTTAAACAGTCAGGTCTTGAAGCTTCGCTCTGGCGAGCCTCAGGAGGGAGACGATCCCGGTCCTTTGCTGCTTGCGGTAGATCAAGTCGAAGGCGTCCTGGAGGCTTGCCGAGCTAAGCCAAGACTCGAAACATGGCCGTTCGTAGGGTTTTGCTGGTTTGAGTGTTGCCTGCATAGTTCGTTTTGTTTTTGCGTGAATTGTAGGTAGGCACATTTTAGCATGCCGTGCCAGGCTTTGACGGGTGGCGAGGAGGTGCCTGGCAGCAAGTGTTGGGTTTGTCTTGGCTCGTCCTCATGTCTCCTCTAGTCATGTGAGAAGCAGACAGGGAGGGATGGGGAGGGAAGGTGCCTGAAGCAGGTTGCTTCTCTCCGCTACATCTGACATGCGAGACACAGACACACTCGCGAAGCTAAGGAGGCACGAAATAGCAAAACGAAGATGCAAGACAAAGATGAAGATAGTCGAGGAACAGTATCAGGCCTCGCAGAATAGGAGCCTGACGAAGCAGTATGGTCTTCCGGAGGATGGCAAGGCAAGGAGAAGAACAGGGTACCGAGTCAATGCCCTGAACTCTCAAGAAAGCACGCCGCAGCCGGCATGGCAACGTAGTGTACTGCAACGCAGTTGCGCAGAAGAGCTAGGTGCGACATCCAGCGAGGATCGAGATTAATATTCCCTGACACTCCTGGACTTTTCGTCGGTCTGTCCGCTTGCCAATCAGAGACATGCATGCGAAACACAAACAGTGTGGGAGTGTTTATGTATGTCTATGTGTTCTGCTTGCAGAAACTGTAGACTAAGGCCCGTGTAGAACTTGCGATTGGACGTGATGCCACGCATTGTCAAAAGGGTGCATTCCCGAAGTAAGGAAACGAGACAGAGCAGTACGATACGCATTGTACGATTTCTAGACATTTGAGCTGAACATGCTGTGTTCTAGTTTGTAGGGATGTTGAATGCTGTAGTATTATGATTATTCCGTTCTGCTAGGTTGAACTATTTCCGTCTTTGTTGATGCCACTATGCTGGCAGTTGTAATGTGCTAGTTCAGACTGGATGACCATCGTCTTGGAAAGGATGCGTGACCCGCATGCTCTCGGCAGGTGACCGAAGCCGATTCCGAGGCGTTCTTCGGGATTTGCCGGGCTGGGCCGGATCCGTCTCCACAATGCAGATTCTAGGATAGGAAACGATGAGACCGCATCGATCTCGCAGGGATGGGATGAAATTTGACAGGCTTTGGGCGGCGGGGTTGAACAGCTGGATGCTTTCGGCCTTCGTTTGAAAAGGGTTTTTTTGGGCAGAGTGTTGATATACCGGTGTCAGTGTACCAAGTCCGCCAGAGAGCCGAACGGGTGTTGTGACATGCCCACTACACCACTACTCTGAAAGCTTGAGCCACAGCGGCCTCGCTCTGCTGCATCAAAACCCCAGCAACTCACCCGCTAGCCCGAGATCTGGTCGAAATTGGAAGCATCTCTTCCGGACTTTGTTGCTTCTCTTGTTCAACGACCTTTTGCAAGCCACCTGTACCTCAACGGCAAGCTGGACTGCTTTTTGACCTGGAAAGATACTCTATTTGACTACTTGATACACGCCGGCCGTTCATGGCTCATGGTCGTCTAAAGCTGAGTCTGAGGAGGCCGTGGATGGCTTCGCGGCCTTGGCAAAGGCTCGCATCCCTGACGCAGGGTGGCATATGGTTTGAGGTGCTCGCGTTGGGCTGTCGAGTGCCTTTGCAAGAGGCTTGGCACAAGGACGTGCAACAGAACCCAACACCCCTGCAGGCCTTGGCCGATGCGGAGCGTCCCTTGGATTGTGATAGGTTCTCCGTTGGCAGGTTGCTTTGTCTCTGTATTGCCTCTGTCAAGTGTTGGGATGTTTGTTTCGGTTTCTGTGAGAGAACTTCAGGCGAGGAGGCTGAAGCAGCAGAAGCAGCTGCAGTGGTCGTGGATGTTGATGCCCCGGCGACGCTCGGAATAACAAAGAATTCTTTGAAATGTTGAAGCTTATGGGCCATGAGTGACGGCCTTGGCTCTAGAGATGCACAAAGTATGCGCCAAAGCCAGCATGGCAGTCCCGAGGCCACGAAAGCGCCGGCGGTTCTGAGCCTCTACCTGCGAGCCATGTACATAGCTTATGCGCAGAGCTGTTTCTCAAACCAACGAATGCCCCGAAAGCTTCACGAGGTCTGCACTACATAGTCAAATTGGCCACTAGAATCAGTTGACTCTCGCTGGATTCAATGTTTGAGAAATGTGCTCCTCTCAGACTAGACCTGGAAGTGCTGAAGCAATAGACGCACCGCAGTCTTAAGCCTGGAGCTTCAAAGGCCCGACGCTTGACTCCCGGACCATGGGTTCAGAAAAGCCGACCTGCTTATAATTGCAAAGGGGCATGGCTGAACGCCATGTCAGTGGGCTACCATAGGCCAAATCAGATGCAGCACGCCACGAGCGCTCGTGGATTCTCGAAGCATGCCGAAAGTTTGGAGAGAGCACTTATGCCGTAGCCAGATGATCCCGCATCCAGAAGATCCTTTAGAGCAGACGCAGAAATTTGAACTTCAAAGTTTCGGATGTGTTTACTCGGGCGGTTTTTTAAATAAGAGGACTGACTGAGCACGACCTGTGGAAGAATCCACGCGTGGACCAATATGATATGTGAACTAAGATCTCAAACATCGACCAGCGACCCAGTCGGAGTAGTTGCGTTGCTGTGTTGATTGCTATCCATTCCGAACTCATCTATGTCCATGTCTAAATCCGAAGAAGAACCTTCAGGTCAGCTGAAGAATCGGACGAGTTGGAATGTTCCCCCCAAAAGCAAGTGCAAGGCTATCCACGCAGAGCGGCGAGTGCGGGCATTGCGGACAGCCAGTTCGGTGCTTGGCATTGTCTTGGGCACTTGTGTCACATCATACTTCTGGGTTTGTCTGGTGACAGGTTGTCAGAGATGCCAGTGCCTCCGACGCCTGCGACGGCGAGCAACCAGGCCGTCGTCAGACACACTAGAATCATTAGAAAACGCTCTGAACTTGCAGTTGGTGTGCAGCTCAAGAACTGTAGCAGCATCAGCACCTCATGCAGGACGGCAGTTCAGTTTTGACATGACATTGCGTACCACACCATGCCATTGAACAAGCATACAAGGGATGGTGCCTGCCAGGGGGGTTCTATCGGGTCACACTGAAGGATACTTGATGTCCACGAGGCGGTTTTAGGCGCTTTCTGCAGGGCTTGTAACAAGAATCTGTGCACAGGTCTGACATAGACATAGAGAAAAACCATTGGTTCAAACCATCGGTATGTGCACAGCTTACTGCAGCCAGCACCAGAAACATCTCTATTCTTTTGCGGCTTCAAAGGTCTATGTCCAAACTAATTTGCCAAATCTGTCGATGCTGGGGCTTTCCAGTGCGTCCGTTGTGCCAACCGCGCTTGGATCGACCTGACAGGTCTCGGCATCTGCCAGCACAGTGCCGGTCAGGTCGTCTCTTGCCGAGGCCCAAGTTCTCAAGACCTTGCTGGGCCTACGCCTGCAATTTGGCAATGTGCGGGTCCGTTCATCGTATGGTCTTTGAGCCTTCAGTGGCTTACGGCTGAGCATGCTATGTTTTCCGGGCCTTGATGCTCCAGATTCGGCGTTTTGTATTGTTAATTAACAAATCCGGCACATCACAACAAAGTCGGAATGTACCTAGCGGCTTTAGCTCCTACTCCTACTCCTACTCCTACTACTACTACTACTACTACTACTACTACTACTACCACTACCAAGCATTTGTACTGTTGAGCATTCAGAGACCTGGGCTCCCGTGCTCCTGCCGTGCTCCTGCATTACGGGTCATGTGGCTTGGCTAGCTTTCCAGGCCAGGGTAACCGAGAGTGGGTTCAAGGTTTAGGGGATTTCGTGCCTTCGCTGTATCCTTGAACGTACACGCAGGCCCCAGCGGCTTCGCAAACGTCGGCCGGCCCCTGGCTGTCAAATTCAGACATCGGAAGGGCAGCATGTGGGCAGCGACGAGAATATTTGCAGTTAGGGGCAACGCTACATAGTCAAGCAGCCATGTAATTTAAGTAAAATGCATTGCATGATGATAGGACCGGACTGCTAAGTCCGTAGTTAGGGTCTGCTGGGTTGCCATGCTGGTGAAGTATTGAAGATTTCTCATCTGGTCCAGCTTCAACAGCTGTGTAGATGTAAGGCTTTACAGGCAATCGGTGCGGTGATGCAGTAATATCGTCGTGGCAGAATAGTTTCGGAGCCGCGAACTTTGAATGATCAAGGTGTATTTGCTCAGTCCTATTACACTGAAGAGCTCTGAAGATCTAGCAGATTGGGATTGGGATTCTGCAGGCATCTGTCGCCATCAGTGTGTTAAGATTGCACCAGGCTCTTCTGCAGACCGGAGGCAAGATTCCTCTGCACCGTCCCTTGGGCAGCCGCAAAATATATGGAAGCCGGATGAAGCCGGAATACCTACCAATGTTTTTCCTACGGGTACCGTATTGTATTCATATATTGCAATGTACCCCGAAAGCCTATTCTAAGTAATGAGGCCGCGATATTGTAGCCGTATGGGTTGCTTTAGCTTCGGATCTGCTAAGCGCACAAGGAAACTACGTCAGCCCAGCAAAAGGAGCGAGTTTTGGGGTGTCCAGGGTGCCAGTCAATTCCAGAACTTCGGCTCAAGCAAAATAGCTCAGAAACAGGATCTGCAACGGGGGAGCGAGGGGCCTTGCACTTGCCGCAGCACCTCAAGCTCTGAAAACGAAAGATATCACTTCCAGCAGTCGTACACGGCCGCATGCGGCCCCGCCTCTATGAAGATCGAAAGATCCAAGCACATCGACAAGCCCACTGGTAGAACGGGTCAGCCCGAATATGTTGGTCCAACAAGTTGACGAGTTTTCCAGTGGACACCGTTTGGTAGGCTACAGCGGCTACTATACGTTGGACAGCGATACAAGATGTCGGGAATCGAGTGAATGTGCCGTCAGAGGATATCATACTCACTCCTGTCAATAAAACATGCTTGTATCTAAGAAGCTTTGCCATGTAACGTAAGCTTCTGGGCAGTGAAAGGCGTATCTAGTCCTCAGCCCAGATCATATCCGACAGCTCCCTTGTCACAGATCCGAGAGAAGCATGAGCAATCTGCGGGTTGTCGGAGTTGACAGCAGGCGCTCAACAAGTCTAACGCACAACGTGTGAGTATGTTTGGTTATTTCCTCTTAACAATATGTTGGTTCATTGAATAAGCCGAGACAAGTTTCTTACTAAGCCTCTTAGTAAGCCTGGGCCAATTTTGGCTGACCAGGCATGCGAGAGACGTAAGTACCGCCAATGCTGAGCATTCGGGGCCACTTCGCACCCCTCCCCTGCTCCGAGCCTCACTATGCTTACTGGTCGTCTTTCTGCAATCCGATGCTTTCAGGCCTCTCCAAGTGGGCTCGCACGTGCGTTTGCGTGGTCCAGGTCCCAGTGCATCAGTGAACCAGGAAGGCGGTGTTCTTTTGCTTGGCTGTCTCTACAATCCCTTTCAGATCAACGTTGTCCCTTGCTAGCTGCTGAAACTTATGCTTCATCAGGCACGTTGATTCTATGCACAAAACATGACCCGAAGTTCTCCCGTGTAACTTCGCATTCAGGATGTGCGAGGGGGTGCATCGTGCTTGTCTTGAGACCTGCACACACAAACAAAGTTGTAGGAATACACAACCGTATAAACGAACTAGCGACATACGATTTCCAATCGAAGCCTTCAGCTACGTGCTCCCAGGCCTCGAAAAGCGGCCCGAGCTCAATGGCTCGTGCGGTCGCCTTGCGGTCTGGCACTTTGTGTTGTAGCATTAGCCGAAGTCTGGGGTGATTCTTTTGGCATGTGTGTATAATACAGATTCAACACAGAGATTAAACAAAATCATACGTATTCAGCTTTATGTCTCGTATGTTTATACACACGTCGCGCAGAGCACTAAACTCGCTTGCTAGATTCTGCAATGTTCTGACCAGAGCAGAGTACCTGTATCAGGGCTTGGTCTGGCGCCATGGAACAGTGTGACATTGGAGTTGAGACGAGTGAATTGTCGCACAAGCATTACACCCCTTGCACCGGACAAGCCCAATCCCACCGCCCGACGACCCGAATTCGTCGGGAGACTGAGGCTTCTGTCCCGCCCTGTTGTGTGAAGTGTATAGTTCCCAATGCCTTGTTGGGCCCTGAGGATTCCATCCTTCCTTCGGAACCCAACCTCCCAGACAGCCTCAGTGGTGCCAAGCTGTTCTCTTGTCGTGTGAACTCTGATGGCTCCAGCGGCTTTCACACGGGAGCGGGGGTATGGCGGCACTAGCTCCGTCAGTTACGGCCAGTGCACCCAGGCATGGAATTGAACGTAAGCAAGGCATGATGATTTTCTATTCTATAGACTGAGCTTCAGCAACAGCTTGGAGGTTACTGCAGTATTTCGGGTGGTGGGAGTGGTATGTGTGTATATAATGATAATGTGTTTGTTGGCAGGGGGTGGAATTGCAACGAGGTCTGTCGGTCAAGAGCCCGAAAGGTCCCTGTCATCGAGCGCGCGAAGCTGTGATAAGCATGGACAATGGCCTCTCACATTTTGTGTCCCTTCCAGTCTGTCGACCCGTGGCTCAGGCATCATATCGAGTTGGTCAAGCGGTGCAGGTGCTGTCGAAGTCCAGCAACGTGGCCCGCCCTGCAAGTTCGGACGGCGTTGAAGCTTGGGGGGTTGAGGCCTCGGGCTCTGCACTGCAGGGGGATGTGCATTTCCCAGCTTGCATTGTAGCTTCCGGCGGTCGAGAGTCTAGAGTTCCGGCTCCGGCAGCGTTCTCCTGCTGTGCTGTGCTTGCAGTTTTGTGGCCTCTCGTCTTGTCAAGACTGACTCTCTTGAGCACTGAAGCATGAAGCCCCCCAACTGGCTTGAACTGCATTCTTCCGGTGAGACCTCCGAATTGGGAGCATGGCTAGCCCTGCTCCGGTGAGTCCATCTTCATGAAAGCTCCGGGAGGATGCTTATGATTCGGCAGTTGTGAGTCTTGCTGGGATGGAGTACCCGACCCTGCTTCCGTGACCTGTCGAGGCCTGGGTAGATGCCACGATCCACCAGATACTGCCAGACAAGGGTATATGGGTTCGGCAATCCGGCAGCAGAAGCGTTGATGTCGTTTCTGATGTTGAATCTTGCGAAGCTGCGTAAACCGGCCGAGCATCGCACCGGACACTTTGCCAAAATACTCAAGCGGCGCAGCCTTCGATGTCCTTGTCCAAGGCCCAAAGGCCCTTTCAGTTCCCAGTCTTTGCACATGCATCATCAGCATCTCGCAAATTTCACATCCGACACGGGCTTCCGGCTTGAAACATCCGCCAAGGTACGGGAACTCTCACAAAGTGATTCCACCTGAGCTCCTTGAACAGAACTTTCTGGTGGATTTGCATATGTAAGATTCAGGACTCTGATGGAGTAGCTTTGGGAAGTGAATGCTACACAGCTTTGTTTTGCTGCCTCTTCATTTCGTCCAACTCTTGCGACACTTCAGCACGCTGGCACATGTAAGCCATTGTAACTTAGATAGCCTGCGAGGTTTGAAATGCCCAGTTAGGGTGCACCGCATGCACGACATACCAGATACACTCGCATAGCTTGCTCTTGAGTGCGAACTACTGGAACCCATGCCGCAGGCTGCAGCCATCAGCGCTGAGATGCAAGGCTGCCCAGGAACCCACAGAATATGCTCTTGGCCAGCGCGTCCAAGTGCTGCCTGACTGAATCTTGCAGCCTACGATATAGCGCTCGTTTGGGATGCTCAGCTCCCCGCGAAAAGACGACCCAATCTTCGATGCTGCAGTGCAGATACGGCAAGGATTGCAAGCTTCAGCGTCATGCTGCCAACTGAACGCTACATTAGAACTTTGCTGAATATTTGTTTCGGCTGACACTGCTTACGGCCGCGTCTCCGCAGTGAATCAATCAGCTCGCTGTAGGATTCCAGTCTCCACGGCTTCGGGCTCTGTCCCCGCGAGATTAAGCAGGGCGCTGCTTCTCAGGTTTTCGAAGACCAGCCAGCAGTGGGTGCCTGGCATCGTGCGCGAGATTTGGCCGGATGGTTCTGTCCATGTGCAATACCAGCAGGCGCAGCACCCGGGCCGCACGAAGACAACCCCCTTGCTGACGAGGATTCTTCTTGTGGCAAAATTCTCGCAATGCGGCTCAAGCGTTCGATGATCATGGAGGCAGTGGCACATTTTCGACGAATCGGGTTAGGGAACGGCAAAGCCATGTCCATGCACTTTTCTGATGATGGCATCTTGCGACACTGCAACTATGAAGCATAAGTCCTGTGATATAGCCAGTACTAACAACGGACTTACACCATGTATGGTTGCATGTGCACGTACCTTGAATGCTGGCCGAGTGGTCATGCGGGTGGCTTGTTTTTTGTTGCCAGATTGTTTGGAAAGTCGAATTGCGTTGGTAACAGAAAATAGGCCGGAAGATTCGGGGCTTCGCGGACATCGGACTCATCGCGGAAACCATGCTTTCGTCTGTACTCGCCTCTGAACCATCTCCACATTCGTAGAAGGGCTGCCCGGGCAGGATTCGTGGATTCCTGGGTCATACAAAGCATTCACTCAAATTTACTCGAAAGCTTCGAGTTCCCAAGCTGGTTCAGCAGGGTCTGATCACTGACTGAATCTTCCAAACGTCGGGCTCTTGCTGCTTTCATAAGATCATTGTCTGAACCCCGCTGTTGATGGTGATCTGATCGTGCAGGATTCAGGTCTTCAGGTGAAGCTGCTCTAGACCTCTGAGTTCGAGATTGGACCCTGGGTCCTGGGTCATGCTGAGAAGCAGATTTGGCTGTCGGGGGCAAGCTTGCATTGATATCCGTCAGACGGGATTCATGTTTGGGAGGGTGACTCTGAGTTTGATGTGTTGGACGAAGAAGCCGAAGCGTCTCGCACCCTACATCACTGAGCTTGCCTGCCAAGCAAGGCATTTGTACAAAGTCCTTGCTCCAGAGCTCCTTTGCTGCCGTTGAGCCTTGTTTCGCGGACCCTTGGCATTGAGTGCATGTTTTTCTCGGTTCCCAAGTAAGGCTGCAGGGCTCGATGCTCCGAGCTTGCGGGCAAATCGCGGAGCCTGACACGCAGGAAGAGGGAGGAGACTCGCGAGTAGCTGCATTGGTCGAGGAGGCTGAACGTCTCAAAGCAACTATTGCAAAGCAGCAAGAGGAGATTAGTGCACTGCAAGAGCAGAGGCAAGCACAGCCGGCCGTGGCCCAGAATGCACATGGGCTCGTGCAGGTCCAGCTGCAGACGAGACAAGATCATAAACCGCAGCAGTCCGATCAAGCACGGCCGCAGCAACAGCCCCAGCAAGCGCCGCCACAGCAGCAGCAGCGGCGAAAGCCAAGCGCATCTAAGCCTGTCACTGCGGTTCAGCCGAGCGGCTTTGCGAGGGCGGCCGAAAACCGAGAAGAGGAGAACTGGACCTGCTCGGTGTGCACTTTCGAGAATGTGGAGCCCCTGACCGAGTGTGAGATGTGTGGCACGAAACGCTCTTACCCCAGCTCTCCGCAGCGAAAGAGACTGAAAAAGGGCCCCCCTGACATCGTCGAGGTGGATGCTTCTTGGCCGAATGTGCTAAACACGATACCGATTGACCCCGAATCCATTGAAACTGGTCTGCAACTTGGTGTCAACTTCAAGCCACCCGAAGCATGCTTAAGCTCGAAACGAGCCCTTGTCCCGATGCCGCAAAAGGTGCTGCTCCTCCCACTTACTGTGGCTTAGCTTTCTTTAATCCACGATATATACATGCTGACACTAAGGCTGTGTTGGATCATCCCAGCCACCAGAATGCTCCGGAGGTAACAGCAGGCAGAATGCTGGGGTGCCTCGCGCGACTTTTTGGTCGAGCTGAATTGCAAGGAATTCGTTTCTAAAGACTTCTGGATGCGTCGTACGGAACAGGGAAGCCTTGCTCAACCCTCCTACCGGGCCCGTAGAGAGGTAAAGATCTCAATCCGTCGGTGTCCTGTTTGGCGAGGCCCCGCCGAGTTCCTCCGCTGCGCCACCGCGGTGATCGAGCCCGGTATCGGGGCCCGATCTGCGTCACAGGCAGCGCTCTGTTGGGTTCGGGCTCTCGAAGTGGAAGGATGACAAGAGCACATATAGGTAGACATTCACGATGCCTGCCAGCTCGCGTGATGCCAGGTGCAGGGCCCTGAAGACGAAGCCCTGGTCGAGGTTCCAGTGCCTGACTGCACCTAGGCTGCCAAAAGAGAGCGACTTCCGTACGAAAACTCCTAGCATTTCTTGTGGACGGGGAGCGCCTCTCGGCTGTTCCTTCCGCCCAATCATAGAATGCGCACGTGCAGTACGGAGGAGCTTGGCTTCAGATTTATTGCTGCAAGATGTGCTTACTGACTAACTCATCGCCCCTAATGCTGTGTAGACTTTGCATCGCTCTATGAGCTAACTTCTGCATCTTGAGCGCATGAGTGGCATGAGGCGGCTTCAGCTTGTAGAGAGCAGTCGACTTCTAAGATTCTGTACTTGGTCAGAGGCCTGTCCGCTGGTCCCTCGGGGGAGCCACTGCGATTGACACAGACGCTCCATGACCGGCTTTGCCCCTACCAGCGCGAAGGCACGGGCATTCTACAATACCATACAATATCTTTTCCCTTTTCTGACTTCCTCGTCGTTATCTCCATCCTGTCATGTCTTGGGGTTGTAACATTTGGTTTTACAAGCTCCGAAGAAAGTACAAAAGCTGTGTGTGTGTGTGTTGTGGTTGCGTGGGTGT